ATTAATCAGGGTTTTATAGACCTGCAACATAACCTCATGGCTCTTAAATTCAATTCCCCTGCCAATGAAAGCCAACACACCATATCCTTCTTTACAAGCCTATCAACTTGGTAGCAACTTTGAGGGATCTATGGACATGGACCCCAAGATCCCTCTGTTCCTCCACACTGGCAAGAATCCTGCCATTAACCCTGTATTCTGCATTCAAATTTGACCTTCCAAAATGAATCACTTCACACTTTTCCAGATTGAATTCCATCTGCCACTTCTTTGCCCAGCTCTGCATCCTGTAAATGTCCTGTTGCAACCTACAACAGCCGTCCATACTATTCACAACTCCACCAACCTTGTGTCATCGGCAAACTTACTAACCCACCCTTCCACGTCCTCATCCAAGTCATTTATAAAGATCACAAAGAACAGGGGTTCCAGAACAGATCCCTGCAGAACACCACTGGTCTCCAAGCTCCAGGCTGAATACTTTCCATCTACTACCACCCTTTTTCCTCTATTGGACAGCCAGTTCTATATCTAGACAACCAAATTTCCCTGCATCCCATGCCTCCTAACTTTCTGAATGAGCCTACCATGGGGAACCTTATCAAATGCCTTGCTAAAATCCATATACACCACATCGACTGCTTGACCTTCATCAATATGTTTTGTCACATTCTCAAAGAATTCAATAAGGCTTGTGAGGCATGACCTGCCCCTCACAAAGCCATGCTGACTATTTCTAATCAAACTGTGCTTTTCCAAATAATATCTCTCAGAATCCTCTCCAATAATTTGCCCACCACAGAAGTAAGACTGACCAGTCTGTAATTCCCAGGATTATCCCTATTGCGTTTCTTGAACAAAGGAGTAACATTTGCCACCTCCAAAAATCTGGTACTACTCCAGTGAACAGTGAGGATGCAAAGATCATCACCAAAGGGGCAGCAATCTCTATCCTCGCTTCCCGTAGAAACCTTGGGCATATCCCGTCTGGCCCAGGGGACTTATCTATCCTCATGTTTTTTTTAAATTTCTAGCACATCCCCCTTCCTAACATGAACCTGTTCGAGCATATCAGCCTGTTTCACACTGTCCTCACAAACGTCAAGGTCCCTCTCACTGGTGAATACTGAAGCAAAGTATTCATTAAGGACCTCCCCTACCTCCTCTGACTCCGCACACAAGTTCCCTCCGCTATCCCTGATTGGCTCTACCCTCACTCTGACCATCCTCTTGTTCCTCACATAAGTATAGAAGCCTTAGGGTTTTCCTTAATCCTACCCGCCAAGGTTTTCTCATAGCCCCTTCTAGCTTTCCTAAGTCCATTCTTCAGTTCCTTCCTGGCTACCTTGTAGTTCTCTACAGCCCTGTCCGATCCTTGCTTCCTCAACCTTAAGTAAGCTTCCTTCTTCCTCTTGACAAGATGTTCCACATGTCTTGTCATCCAAGATTCCTTCACCTTACCATCCCTTCCTTGCTTTAGTGGGACAAACCTATCCAGTACTCGTAGCCAGTGCTGCCTAAACAACCTTCTGCTCCTATGATGCTGCTTGACCTGCTGTGTTCATCCAGCCCTGCACCTTGTTGTCTCCACATTTCTGTCATGCATTTCCCTGAGAACATCTGTTCCCAATTTATGCTCCACAGTTCTTGCCTAATAGCATTGTAATTCCCGCTCCCCCAACAAAATACTTTCCCATACCGTCTGTTCCTATCCCTCTCCATGACTATAGTAAAGGTCAGGGAGTTGTGATCACTATTACTGAAATGCTCTCCCACTGAGAGATCTGACACCTGACCTGGTTAGTTGCCAAGCACCAAATCCAATATGGCCTCCCCTCTAGTCAGCTTATCTACATATTGAGTCAGAAATCCTTCCTGGACACACCTGACAAAAACTGCTCCATCCAAACTGTTTGCACTAAGGAGGTTCCAGTCTATGTTAGGGAAGTTGAAGTCACCCATGACAACAACCCTATTACTTCTGCACCTTTCCAAAATCTGCCTCCCAATCTGTTCCTCTGTGTCTCTGTTGCTATTGGGGGATCTATAGAAAACTCCCAATGAAGTGACTGCTCCTTTCCTGTTTCTGACTTCCACCCATACTGACTCAGTGGAGAAACCCTTCTCCACGTCCTCCCTTTCTGCAGCTGTGATACCATCCTTGATTAGCAATGCCACTCCCCCACTTTTTTTACCTCCCTCCCTATTTCTTTTGAAATATCTGAACCCTGGAACATCCAACAACCATTCCTGCCCCTGTGTTATCCAAGTCTCCGTAATGGCCACAACATCGTAGTTCCAAGTACTGATCCATACTCTAAATTTGTCACCCTTATTCCTGACACTTCTTGCATTAAACTAGACACACTTCAACCTGTTGCACTGACTGCAACTTTGCCCTATCAACTGTCTATCCTTCCTCACAGACTCTCTGCATGCTGTATCTGCCTGTACACCAGCTACCCCATCCTCTGATCCGTAGCTCCAGTTCCCATCCCCCTGCCAAACTAGTTTAAACCCTCCCGAAGAGGTCTAGCAAACCTCCCGCCCAGGATATTGGTGCCCCTCCAGTTCAGGTGCAACCCGTCCTTCCTGTACAGGTCCCACCTTCCCCAGAACGTATCCCAATGATCCACAAACCTGAAGCCCTCCCTCCTACACCAGCTCTGTAGCCACATGTTCAGCTGCACTTATAATAAAAATTATATAAATATTTATATTTATAAATATAAATTTATAGCCATATATACAAATATAAAATAAATATAAAGAGGCATATATTTTATACATTTATATTTATAGGCATATGAATAACAAGCAGGTCAGAAACACTGACACTTCACCGGAGGTGCACTGATGATGATACCTAGCAGGGTGATGAAATATCTGCAACTAAACCCACTGGCTTGGCAAGCAAATCTACAACCTCAAGGCGTTTTATTATTATTAACCCTTGGGGTTAGGCAGCATCACAGGAGCAGGAAAGTCGATGTTTCAGTTCAGGACCCTTCCTAGGCCCGAAACGTCAAGTTTCCTGCTCCTCTAACGCTGCCTGACTTCTGTGTTCCTCCAGCTCCACACTGCTATGGAACGGGCTATTAAGCTGGATCACAGACAGGTTTGTGGAGGTGCCGGTGTTGGACTGGGTTGGACAAAGTCAGAAGTCACACGACATCAGGTTATAGTGCAACAGGTTTGTTGTGATTTCGAAACTTTCAGAGCACTGCCCCTTCGTCAGGTGAAGTGGTTCATCACTTCCAACAGATTTACTTCATTCAGGTCAAATGACAAACCACTTCACCTGATGAAGGAGCAGCGCTCCAAAAGCTTGTGATTTCAAACAGGCCTAATTTGTAAAATCAATGTAGGCCTGTTGGACTATAACCCGGTGTCAGGATCATAAACAGAAATTGCTGGAGAAACTCTGGCAGCATCTGGGTAAAGAAAGCAGAGTTAATGTTTAGAGTTCGGTGACACTTATGTAGAGTTGAGTTGGATGATTGGTTGTGCAATAGGCAACAGAAAGTAGGAGTATTGGGTAAGTACTCAATTTGTCAGGATTAGGCCCGTGGTGTTCCACAAGGATCTGTGTTTAAGCCTCACTTATTCTCAATATTTATTAAATGATTCAGATAATGGCATAGAAAGTCACTAACAGAATAGCCAAATTCACTGATGACACAAAGTTAAGCAGCATCGTAGACAGTGTAGATGATAGTCTATCAATATCCATTTGTAATTTTATGCTAAGTGAATGGGCAAAACTGTGCAGATGAAGTTCAATGTATCCATTTGGGACCAAGACAGGGTACTTTCTAGATGGTTATGAAGTTAAATACGGTGGATGTCCAAAGAGACTTGATGGTTCAGGTGCATATATCTTTAAAATATCTTGAATGGATAGAGAAAATAATCAAGAAAACTAATGGGTTGTTGGTCTTAATAGCTAGAGGACTGGAGTACAAGGATGCAGAGGTTATGCTGCAGTTGTACAAAACCCTGGTTACGCCCCACTTGAAGCACTGAGAGCAGATCTGGGGACCACACCCTAGGAAAGATAGATTGGCCTTGAAAGGAATACAACGTAGGTTTACACGAATGATACCTGGACTTCAGGGGTTAAGTATGAGGGGAGATTAGATTTAGATTCAGACTTTTTATTGTCATATATACTTAAGTACAAAAGTACAGGAGTACAGAGAAAAGTGTATGATGTTGTCACATAAGCGCCATCTTAGGTACAAGTGCCTAGGTATAGAATCATAAGAACGAGGTAGGAAGAAACAACAAAGTTAAAAGTTAAACGTTACAGTAATTTTTAATATTAAGTTGAAAAATAAAGAAATAAAGCTATAAGTCAAACATTACAATCTTTCAAAAGTGCTTAACCACGCTG